GACTCCTTTATTTAAAGTAGAATTTATTGATTATAATTTCGGCCGATAATACAATTGCGAGTATCTCGTGATTGGATAATCCAAAATCAATGAATGTTAGCTCATTGGATTAGTCTAGTCGTGAGGAATCGAATGGTAGTTGTTTCATACGAATCGGTGAGATATTGACCGAGATCGTACATCTTCTGTATTTTTTGTTTTTTCTATATATAAAAAATCATGTGATATGACGTAATTTCAACCATTTTGACTTTTCATTTTAACTTTTGGGTTTTCATTTTGACTTCATGTATAATCCGGTATCACTGGTATCAAAATGAGTCATCAAATTTTCTTAGTTATCCCTAAGTTTAATAAAAAAATTGATCTATAGCTTATTAACAAACAAATATCAAGCGTTTATCAATGCTTATGTATATAGCGTTATGGTTAAGACAGGAAATAGTATTCCCAATCATGCTAATATTTATCACGAAGTAGCAAAAAATGGAATAAAATTAAAAGCAAAAGTGAACCAGAAATTAGTGTTATAATTAGAAATTATCTGTCTACACCATATAACCTATACAATATACAAATAATAAGACCTAGATTATATGTAACTAGAGAAGACCCAACCTCTCTTCTTCCTAATACTCCTATTCGTTTGGTAGTTCCTGTATTAAACATCTATCTTAAAGAGCAACTCCATAACCTTTTTTATTGCCAATTCCATTTCTTCAAATTTCTAGGTCTATTCTTTCAGTTTGTTGCCTAAAAAAGCAAAATGCTAATTCAGTTGGAGTATCAGCTGTAGGTCAGACATTCTGTATATTGCAATTGATTCACAAGTCTGCTTGCATAGCTGATTATGACTTTTCTACAGGATGTAAACAGAAGTTAATTCTATCAGTTTATCTTATTATCAAACCAAATGAATTAAATGATAAATTGAGAATGAGACAACTTGCCATTTTTGTACGCTGCCAATGATCTCTTAGAGCTTCTTCAATCACAAATATGTAAAACCTCGAAAGTCTCACTCTAGATCCTCAATATGATGATGTGTTGAAAGCTGATGGAGAAATTCGACCTATCTGGATATTATTAGTAGATGGTAGATCAGAAGAAAATCCAAGACATTTAAAAAATATTAAATTATACATTCAACTTTTTGAAGGTTTAATTTAGATTACCACACTGTATAGACACATACTCTGGAATAATCCAAGTACAATCCTATTAAAAGGGGTATAGCTACATTATCTGAAAAATTGGCAGGTATTACACTACCAATCGATCACTTTGGGATACACCTAAATTCACAAGAAAAAGTGTTTAATCCAAAGTTGACTATTCAAAACTTTCAATATGCCAGAAAGGCACTTTGTGATATTTGGTGTCGTAATTTAGTTTTTGAAAGAAGCGTAAATACACAATATATCGAAGAGCTTGCTAATCCGTTTGAAAACCTAGAGTTTGAGGATACAGAAAAAGCAAAGTGGAAGTACAAAAAAACAACAAAAGAAAAAACAAAAAAATGAAAATGATTCACCAGAATGTTTTGTGCTATGGTTATGAATTGAAAAGCATTGCAACTATACATAAAGTCGAAATGGATCATTTCGGATATCCGAAATGGTCAAAATGGTCAAAATCATTTTTTTTTTGATACT